AAGGAAGGAAGGAAGGAAGGAAGGAAGGAAGGAAGGAAGGAAGGAAGGAAGGAAGGACGGACCCAGGAAGAAAGGAAACAGAGCAAACATATACCTTTTTGCCTAAGTTGAACCAATTCTGGAGCTAACAATTAAAAAAAATGACTATGGCATGGCGGATTTATTCAGGCAGCGGTGGCCCAAAGGAAATACCATTTTCACAAATGCAAATATAAACAACTTCTTGCACGAAGGAAGGATCTCGGCAAAAGAGTCAAAGCAAAGGAATCAGCATCGTGAAGAAGGATCAAAGAGCATACTAGTTCTCAACATATAACAGAGGCACCAAGAAACTCCATTGCTGCTGCTATCTCCAAAGGACGAGGACTGTGCGTGGAAAGCTGGGCACGTTTTGTGGCATGTTCATAAAGCCAAAACCACCGCCATGTTCCAATATCATTGCGAGATGGCTGTCCACGAGAGAGACCAGAAAAAGTGGGCCCTGATCCGGAATGTCAACCAAGCCTTGAAACCCCCCACTCTTTTATCGGTAAGAGATCTATAGGTTGATTCATGGTTTCCATGTTGCTGATTAGATGCACATTTTGTGTCTGTAAGTAAGACCAACAGAACTACAGTTGCCTCTCCGCATTTGTGTGTCTTTCTTTGCAGATTATTTACAGAGTTTGTTAAATATGTAATCTCTAGGTCTTCTAGTGTGATTCTATGCCCAGCTTCCTGCAGACATATTGCCAAAACCTATAGATTTCTAGAGACAACTCTAGTAATCTCTCCTATTCAATTCTGTGTTCAGCTTTCAGTGGAAGTTGAGCATAGAGTTGTGGTGGAAGACTGAGAAATTCCTATAAAGGTGTTCCCTCAGGTCAAAGAAAATAGCAATTTCATTATCAAAGACTTTCATGGCCAGAATCACTGGGTTGTTGTACGTTTTTTGGCCTTTATGACCACATTCCAAAAGCATTATCTCCTGACATTTCGCCTGCATCTATGGCAGGCATCCTCAGAGGTTGTGAGATATCACAACCTCTGAGGATGCCTGCCATAGATGTAAGTAAAACGTCAGGAGAGAATGCTTCTGGAACATGGCCATACAGCCCAAAAAACTTACAACAACCCAGCAATCTCCTTAAACATTGTCAAAGGCTTTCATGTCCAGAATCACTGGATTGCTGTGAGTTTTTTGGGCTATATGGCCATGTTCCAGTAGCCTTTATTTATGGTTTTTCACCTATATGAGTGTCCCGTACCTAATCTCAATGGATATTGATTGCGGACTATAATTGGGATAGAGTTTGGATAGGCACATGCAAGATTTATCTGACCTGAAGCATAACTCCTTGGATTATTTTTATTTTATTCAACTACCAACCAAGACAACGGTCTTATCAAAATAGCTGATAAAGTAAACACAAAAGTCTTCCAAAATTTCAACACAGTGCTTTCTGCTCAGACAGATAGTATACCTTTCAACTGTCCCATTGGTATCCCTACGGATGTCCTGGTCCTCAAACACTCTCTGCTTCATTCGGAAAAATGCTGCACTCGCAGAGCTCAGACTGTGTTAAATTTCAGTGTCAATGTTGACTTTTGTGGAGAGGTGGCTGCCAAGGGAGTGGAAATKGTCAACATTTTCTAATATTACACCATTCCCTCACTGTTTTGCTGTTTGCTTTTCGCAGACTCACTGTTTAGTGGTTAGGATTGAGAATTAATATATTTAATATATTTTTTATACATTTTGTGGTTTTAAAATCACAAAATGTATAAAAATATATTTAAAATATTAATTCTCAACTGTATCCGCAAAACAGCGAGTCTGCAGAAAGCAAACCACTGCTTTCAGGGAGCTTCTTGGCTAGAGTCAGCTTCCCCACCTCAACCTGACAGCCTTTGCAGGGCTGCCCTGGGCCTCCGGAGGGCTCTTTGGCCTCCGCAGGGATGCTGGGGCGAGGTGGGGAAGCTGGCCCTGGCTACCACAAAGCCGTGTGGAGGCCCAGGGCAGCCATGCAAAGGCTGCCGGGGCAAGGTGGGGAAGCCGGCCTTGGCCAATCCAGGGGTGGAGCAGCATGGACAGCGGGAGGGCACCCACCACCACAACAGCCCTTGCCCGGTAAGTCAGGCAAGGCATGTATGATATCAAAACAATGTATAAATATATATATTTAAAATGTATATTAGTGTCCCTACTTCGCAGATTTTCACTTATTGTGGGAGGTCATGGAACGGAACCCCCGCGATAAGTGAGGGAACACTGTATGTGTTTCAACACTTTCAAGAAGGATCTTAAAACCTGGGTTTTCCGTTGCACTTTTGGAGACTATCCATACACCCCCCCCCCCTTTAGCTGCATCCTCAATGCTTATCCCTATAGAATATTTTTCCCCCGCAGTTAGAAGGCCTAACTGTATGACCCGTTTTATGAGTCTCTCCCTTACAGATGTTATGCTCCACTCCTATCTCACCCTGAATTTTTGACATTTTATCTTCTACACGTGGCCTGCTCATTGTCATTGCTTCTGTGAATTATTTATTTTATTTTTACTTTGTTGTATTATTTCATATTGTTTAGTGTAGTCTTATGATTTATTTACTTTCTTATGTTGCTGTTTTGTGTTTTGGTTTTATTGTATTGTAATGCATTGTTGGGCTTGGCCTCATATAAGCTGCCCCAAGTCCCCGTTGGGGAGATGGCGGCGGGGTATAAATAAAGTTTATTATTTATTATTATTATTTGAAACACAACAAGATGAGTCCACAGCAGACACTCTGCTGGTTGTTGAGTTGGATCGCACATCGGACACTTCCCAAGTGTCTAGGACTGTGTGATGTATTAGCGAATAATGCGTGCAGATCCCAGTAAGGTGGCCTTCTGCAGCTGGCAGATGGTAGTTTTGTCAGCACTGATTGTGTTTAAGTGCAGGACAAGGTCTTTACGCACTGCACCCAGTGTGCCTATAACCACTGGGACCACCTTGACTGGTTTGTGCCAGAGTCTTTGCAGTTCGAGTTTTAATTCCTCATATCGTGTCAGCTTTTCCAGTTGTTTCTCTGCAATCCTGCTGTCACCTGGGATTGCGACATCAACGATCCATACTTTGTTTTTTAACACGATTGTGAGGTCAGGAGTGTTGTGCTCCAGAACTCTGTCTGTCTGAATTCAGAAGTCCCAGAGGAGTTTGCCGTCTTCATTCTCTGTAACTTTTTCCGGCTTGTGATCCCACCAGTTCTTTGTTGCAGGCAGATGGTATTATTATTATTATTATTATTATTATTATTATTATTATTATTATTATTATGTGTGTGTAGTTCTCAAGTTTCAAACAAGATAGTTTCTGTAGGTTTGTTCTTGAATTAACAAGTTGGAAAAGGTACATTTCTCCATGATAACAACTCTTTCAGGAGTGAATTTCCCTTCCAGGGGTAGATTAGATTTCTCTCCCCGTTGCCTCAGCCCAGTTCTTAACTATGATTTGTTTGTAAGCTGAATGTTTGTAACTCGAGGATAATGGTTAGTTTTTAGCAAAATTTAGATATTATTATGCAATTTGTAAACTCAATAATTTACCAATACATGACCAACTATATACCCATTAAAACTAACTCATCTTTAAAAAATTTCGACTTAGGAATTAAAATGGACTTCCCACTTCCTACCTTATACATGTATGAAGCAAATATTATTGTCATCCCACTACCTTATGTTAAACAACAATCTCATTATACCTAACTAACTACAGTAGAGTCTCACTTATGCAATACAAACAGAATTGATAGAGCAGATCTATGAGTCCAGTTTGTTTAATCGTGTCAGGAATGTCTTGAGAAACTGCAAGTCGCTTCTGGTATGAGAAAATTGGCCATCTGCAAGGACGGCCAATTCTCTCATATCCTTGTGGGAGGCTTCTCTCATGTGGGAGGCTTCTCTCATCCTTGTGGGAGGCTTCTCTCATTTATCCTTGTGGGAGGCTTCTCTCATGTCCCCATATGGGAAGCTGGAGCTGACAGAGGGAGCTCATCCACACTCTCCCCGGATTCGAACCTGTAACCTGTCAGTCTTCAGTCCTGCCGGATGTTTTGATGTTTTATCATCCTTGTGGGAGGCTTCTCTCGTGTCCCTGTATAGGGAGCTGGAGCTGATAGAGGGAGCTCATCCACCTCTCCCCGGATTCGAACCTGTGACCTGTCGGTCTTCAGTCCTGCCAGCACAGGGGTTTAACCCACTGCGCCACCAGGGGTCCAGTGATGCAGTTAGATGGAGTGTAACTGTTTGTCACTGCCTTCATGTACTTCATGGTTCATTGACATGGTAGAAACACGACTTCTGTGCTCCTTCTTGCTCAAAGAGACAATAAGCAAACACATTGGTTGCACAGTGTTCATCAGTTGCACAGTGTTCATATTTCACAGAAGGGAGATCACCATGTAACCACATGGATGTAGATTTACACTATGTAAGATTGATGTGGGATTTGTTCCCATCCATAACAGAGAGTAAATATTTCACTAGTAACAAGAGGAGAAAGGGCTCAAGCTGTGGCGTTTTGTATGAGAATAACGGGTGCATTCCTAAACTGTCCCTTGTTTATTTGTTGTTGCTTTTTAATGGCTGATTTGCAATCTGATTTTTGTTTGTTCATTGGTGCATGGTTAGATCTTGGAATTCATTCCACCACAGCCAAGAAGTAGCTTTCTATTTTTGTATAAAAGATTGCATGCAAAACTAACTAACAAGTGGTCACATGCCATTCCTGGTCTCTTTGCTGATGTCATACCAAAAAGACAAGTTAGACTATAGTGAAATGTATTTCAGGATTCAGCCATGCATACCGTCCAAAGAGGCCAGCTCTACTTTTTCAGAGTGATCTCTGTCCTATTGCCAGCCTAGTATAAAGTCTAACTGCAAAGGTTTGAAAACATTGTGGAATTCTGCCTTTGAGTGAGACTGGAGCTATCTTCAGCCATTTTTGCTGGAAGTCAGTGCTCAGTATATAATCATATTCCTCTATAATCATATCCATCAGCCCCATAAATCATATTCCATACTAGCTGTACTCGCCATGCATTGCTGTGGCCAACCTTCCCCCCCCTCTCTTTCTTTCTTTCTTTCTTTCCTTCCTTCCTTCCCTCCCTCCCTCCCTCCCTTCCCCTTTTTCTTTCATTCTCTCCTTCCTTCCTTCTCTTCCTCTTCCCTTCCTTCCCATTTCTTTCCCTTCTTCTTTCTCACAGTATTCTACTAGTAATTAATATAAAATAGCACTTTGAAGCTTAATCCAAAAAGGCACCAGCAAAGCAAAAACCCAAAAGAACATGACAAAGTCCTGAAAATATGAACACAAGAACTGCAAGATAATCCAGACAAGCAAAGGCAAGCTTCTTGGTTAAACAAAAAGTTGCTTTGACAAAGGTTTGGTCTCAAACACACTGCTTAATACCCTTTGCAAAACACGAAGGAGTTTCTTTGGCCTCTGGCCTCCTTCTTGTTAGCTATTCTCACACTCCTTCGAACTCTGAATTCCAAATGGTCAGCCCGATCTAAGGGTCCCATTTCCTCAAGGTCCGTCTGTTCGTTAGTGTCAGCCTGTTTCCCTGCTTGCTAATTATCAGGCTGAGAACTATCCTTTTCTGAGTCAGTCTGCACCCGCACCTGGCTATTTTCAGTATCAACACTTTCATTCCTTGCTGTGGGAAACTGCATTTCTTCACTGTCTATAACAGGGACGTCTATAACAGGGACATTTTGAACCACACTGTGAAAACCCAAGTCCCATCATCCTCATCAGAGACACTCTGTGGTTCCAGCTGAGTCACAACACCAGGAATAGGAAATGGGAAATATGCAGGGATTGGGATGCTCTCAAAGAAATCCAAGGAGAAGAAAACTTTCATCTTGGATGAAGTGCATTTGGATCATCCTCCTCTCTTAAAGGGCTTGATCTATTGGATTCTGGGAGCTGTAGTCCAAAAGAGAGTGTGGGTATGCTTTTGTGTGTTTTGTTTCCCAGGGGGAGTTGTTTTTGCGCATGCGCTGTAGCGTCTATTTACATTTTTGGCCTTTCAAGTCCCTTTGGTTGCGTTTTTTGAGTGTTTTATGAGTGATAGTCACTTGTTGGCCTGATAGGTGTATTGTGTCCAAATTTGGTGTCAATTTGTCCAGTAGTTTTTGAGTTATGTTAATCCCACAAACAAACATTACATTTTTATTTATATAGATGGTGTATGGTGCTGATATGTTGAGGATGGTGCATTTAGACATAGTAGCTTTTTCATGAACAATGAGACAAGGAAGGGACACCATATACATAGAAGTTGAGGCTGTAAAGGATAAGGCATTTGGTTTCCAGGCTGTATGGCCACGTTCTAGCTGCATTTTCTCATAATGTTTCACCTGCATCTGCTGCTGGCATGTTTAGAGGATCTGGTGATCCTCTAAACAAGTGGAATATGTGTGTGTGTGTGTGTGTGTGTGTGTGTGGAATGTCCAGGGTGGGGAAAAAGAGCCTTGTCTGCTAAACTAGTTCGAAGAGTGCAATTAACAAGCTTGGAAGTAGTCTGGCCTTTGTTCTCTTTGAATTGTTTGTGGCCTGGAGGCATCCTTTGTCTGAATATTCTTAGTGGGTCTGTAGATTGTTTGTAGATAGATGAGCTGGAGATATCTCTGCCTTGGTCCTTTCACTGTTGGCTGCTACTTCCCGGCGGATGTCAGGTGGTGCAATACCGGCTAAACAGTGTAATTTCTCCAGTGGTGTAGGGCGCAGACACCCCGTGATAATGCGGCATGTCTCATTAAGAGCCACATCCACTGTTTTAGCGTGGTGAGATGTGTTCCACACTGGGCATGCGTACTCAGCAGCAGAGTAGCAAAGCGCAGATGTCTTCACTGTGTCTGGTTGTGATCCCCAGGTTGTGCCAGTCAGCTTTCGTATGATATTGTTTCTAGCCCACTTTTTGCTTGATGTTCAGGCAGTGCTTCTTGTAGGTCAGAGCACGGTCCAGAGTGACTCCCAGGTATTTGGGTGTGCTGCAATGCTCCAGTGGGATTCCTTCCCAGGTAATCCTCAGAGCTCGGGATGCTTGTCTGTTCTTAAGGTGAAAGGCACATGCCTGTGTTTTAGATGGTTAGGGATCAGCTGGTTTTCCCTGTAATAGGCAGTAAGAGCACCTAGAGCTTCGGAGAGCTTCTGTTCAACCATCTCAAAGCTCCCTGCTTGAGCAGTAATGGCACGATCATCAGCATAGATGAAGTTCTCTGTCCCTTCTGGCAGTGGCTGGTCATTTGTGTAGATGTTGAACATGGATGGAGCAAGCACGCTCCCCTGAGGCAGGCCATTCTTCTGTTTCCGCCTGCTTCTCTGGCCCTGGAACTCAACAAAAAAGCTCCTGTTTTGTAGCAGGTTTCCTATGAGGCGGGTGAGGTGGTAGTCCTTTGTGATATTATACATTTTTCTCAGGAGGAGGCGGTGGTTCACAGTATCATAAGCTGCTGACAGGTCTATGAAGACAGCTCCTGTGATCTGCTGCCTTTCAAAGCCATCTTCTATGTGCTGAGTCAGGTTCAGCACTTGATGTGCAGCTTTTGCCTTTCCTGAAGCCAGCTTGCTGTGGAATCAGACATGGGTCTATTTTTACCATAATTCTATGCAAAATAAGTATCTCCAGAACTTTGTAAAGATGGCATAACAATGAGATACAGTGTTCCCTTGCTACTTCGTGGTTCACGAAGTAGCAAGGGAACGACTCCAGCCCAATTTACCTGTCCGAACGTATCCTCCCCTATGAACCATCAAGATTGCTAAGATCGTCTGGAGGGGCCCTGCTCTCGATCCCACCGGCCTCACAGGCGTGGCTGGTGGGGACGAGAGACAGGGCCTTCTCGGTGATGGCCCCTCGACTCTGGAACTCCCTTCCACTGGAGATCAGAACTGCCCCTTCTATCTTAACGTTCAGGAAACCGGTGAAAACTTGGCTTTGGGGATTGGCATTCGACGAATGAGCCATGATCCTGTGATATGGATGGATGACGATGAATAATGATTTTTGATGACGACTGACCACTGTCATTATATGATTGTATTTTGCTATTTTAATGTTTTAGTGTGATTTAGAATATGATGTTTTAATGACTGTCTGTAATATTGATGTTGGAAACCGGCCTGAGTCCCTCGAACGGAGGTGAGAAGTCTGGTATACAAAACTGCTAAATAAATAAATAAATTCACTTTTCACAGACTTTCTGTTTTGCGTTTTTTTTTAAAAAAAATGAATTTAAAATATACAAGTAGCGAAGGAACACTGTATACCCATTACCTGTGAGGACTCCCACGTGGATTTGGTGGTCGTGGGAGGGAGGGAAGAGAGGAGTGGGGGGAGCCACTCCTAGGAGGGGACGGTCCTACGCCTCACACACACTGAGGCAATGCATATATAGCGTCCCTACTTCGTGGATTTTCACTTCTCGCGGGTGGTCCTGGAACGTAATACCTGCGATAAGTGAGGGAACATTGTAATAGCAAAAAGGTTATGATAGCTGAGAAACAATCCCTGTCTTTTTTCTCTCAATCTCTTTCAATCAATTGCTTGCCCATTTAAGAAAAAAAATGGCACAGATATCAGGAATCAACAACCGTTGCAACATTAAATACTAAAGACAGAGTCATCCATGCAATATTTCCTTTTTTTTCTTTTTTTTTTTGTTTTTTGGTCGTGTCAGGAGCAACTTGAGAAACTACAAGTTGCTTCTGGTGTGAGAGAATTGGCCGTCTGCAAGGACGTTGCCCAGGGGACGCCTGGATGATTTGATGTTTTTATCATCCTTGTGGGAGGCTTCTCTCATGTCCCCGCTTGGGGAGCTGGAGCTGACAGAGGGAGCTCATCCGTCTCTCCCCAGATTCAAACCTGCAATCTGTCGGTCTTCAGTCCTGCCGGCCCAAGGGTTTAACCCACTGCGCCACCGGGGGCTCCCCAATATTTCCTTTGAATTTATATATAAGGTTGGGAAAGTTGAAGAAAGTTGACATATATTGATATATTGACCACTAAAAAGACAAATAAATGGACGTGAGAGCAAATGAAGTCTGAGTTATTTCCTTGTTTTCAAATCTGTATTGCATTATGCATTTTGAAACAGTATACATTGATTTAAATTACATATTGCACTGGTATTTAGGTTTTAGGTCAGAAGAGATTGCAAAGGAGTCCTTAATCATATTCAGAAGTATGTTGTTCCCCTTGCTTTTGTTTAAAAAAATGAAATGTTTCCAATCCTATTTTTCCTTTCAGGGGGATTATGTATGGATGGACCTCAAGACCGGGCGGGAATTTGATGTTCCCATTGGAGCTGTGGTCAAGCTTTGTGATTCCGGGCAGATCCAAGTGGTAGACGACGAAGGAAATGTATGTATGAAAATGCACTGTTTGAGTATTTTATTTCTCCATCCTCTTTACTGGTTTCAATTTGAGAGCTTCCAGATTGCACAATTGCAGCAGTCTGATCCCAGTTTAACTGTCATGGCAACATACTATGTAATCTTGGGATTTGTAGTTTGGGAAGATACCTATAATTGTCCCTTTTCTGCTCATGTAGTTGCCCACTGCAGCTGGTGAAGGTCAGGCATATCAAACACATTTTCAGTGAGGGCCACATCAGCCTTATGGTTGCCTTTAAAGAGCCATTGAATCCATGGACAAAGAATCTGAGGACACAGAAAGCCAACTATATAGATACAGTAGCACAGCTAGTTAGTAGCCAGCTGCATTAAATCACTACTGACCAAGAGATCATGAGTTCGAAGACAGCCCAGGTTGGAGTGAGCTCCCAACCATTAATAGTCTACCTTGCTGTTGACTTATGCAGCCCGAAAGACAGTTGCATCTGTCAAGTAGGAAATTTAGGTACCGCTTTAATTTAAATAATTTAAATAATTTACRACACCATAAAAACCTTCCTGCAGCATGCATAAGAATGAGAAAGTACTCCATCAAGTACTCGATGTCACAAGTAGATGGCGAAGCAACAGCTCCCCCTGTTGCCGGAATCGAGCATACCCTCTTGAAGCCGGGAAGCTGGAATGTTAAATTGCCTCTGTGTCTCTCTCTATATGTTGTAAGTCTAATGATATTGAATGTTTGCCATATATATTTGCATTGCAATCTGCCCTGAGTCCCCTGCAGGGTGAGAAGGGCAGGATATAAATACTGTAAATAACTAATATATATACACACACGCACACACACACATATACATATACATATATAACTATCAGATGGCCAGCTTTATTTTTTACATAGTGGTCGGTGCTCTTTATTGTTTACCCAAGTTGGGTCCCCAGATGTTATTGAATGACAACTCTCATCAGTTTGGATTATCTGTCATGCAGATTGGGGATAATGGGAATTGCAACCCAACAACACTTGTGGCTCTGAGGCTAAGGAAAGGTTAAACGACATTTTAAAGTTAGACATCAGATCCACAAGCCTTGTTTCTAAATTCAAATCCAATCATCCTAATTAAACAGAACAAATAACCTTCCAAATCTTCATGTATCCCAACTCCCATCAGCTCTAGTCATGATTTTTAATTAAGAATATAGGAGTTGTAGTCTAGCATCTGAAGGGTCACAAAAAAAGACATGATCAAGATTTGGACCATAGGTCTTGAGTTTGACACATTTGGTGGAAGTCAATCTATTAATCTGCCACCAAATATTGCTCCAGACTCCTCAGAATTGGACACTGGCAGTGTTACCAGCTATTCGTATCTTTTTTTTTTAGGGGCATTGAATGAGTATAATTTGCTTTGTTGTTACTCTTCCTCCTTCTTCCTCTCTTCCTTCTTCTCTTTCAAAATCCTTTGTGTGATGGCACACCTGAGCCTTTGGGAAAACTTTATTGTCTGAGTTTACTTCGGGGCTGTATACCTTCCGTTAAAATTAAGACCCTTTAGCAGACAGAGGCACTTTAGGCAAGGTGAAAAGATAACTAAATGTGTTTACTGAAACAAGATGAATACAGGGTTAACTCCACCTGGGACTATCATAAGGTAACTTAATACATTACAAAAGGAGATTTTGGAATCTTTGAAAGTCTTTTGCCTATGCTGTAAAGTGATGGATTATAAGTTGTTGTTTACGAACTGTCTTAATCTTCTCTCCTGTGAAGCTTAGGTTAGCCAAAAGCTTCCGTTGTCCTTTGGACTGTTGGTATAATAATACTGCTAAATGCAAGTGCTAAGAATGCCTGTTTGGATTGCTTGGGCCTAGGATACCGGACAATTTTTGTAGTTCTGCTGCAGAAAAAGAGGGAGGAGTCCAGCAAGAGCGCGACTGGCCTCTGGGGGGATTTTAAGCTCCACCCAAAACCTAATATAAAGGAAGGTGTCTACACTATTGGGAAGGACTGTAAATAAGGGGAACTAAAGCAGAAGAGAAGAGAAGGCAGAGCCAAGACTTCACACTTTGAGTTTCACATTCTACCTTTCCAGGAGCACTGGATATCCCCTCAGAATGCCAGCCACATCAAACCAATGCACCCAACCTCTATCCATGGTGTGGAGGACATGATCCGCCTGGGAGACCTGAACGAGGCCGGCATCCTGCGCAATTTGCTCATTCGCTACCGGGAGCATCTGATATATGTGAGTCGATGCTGTGAAACCAAGAGTGTCACCCTGTCCTAGTTCTATTTCCTCTAAAATGGCCCCTTCTGGATGATGTATATCCCTCATGACGGAGATTGGGAATAAAAATGAGAGTTACTGCACTGAGTTGAATAAGTCCCATCAATGATGGATAAGGGGATACAGAATGACACCCATAGCACTTCACATGATCATAGGTAATCATCAAAAATAGCCATATAAAATAAGGCTGACCCTGATCAAAGTTGATCTTCATAGTTTTCTTTTTGGAAGAATAGATGTGGAAAGAGGGCTGAGAGAACAGGAGATTTCTTAAGGCTGCTCAAGGGGTTTGTATTTCTGTATTGTCGAAGGCTTTCATGGCCGAAATCACTGGGTTGTTTTTTTGGGCTACATGGCCATGTTCTAGAGGCATTCTCTCCTGACATTTTGCCCACATCTATGGCAAGCATCCTCAGAGATTGTGAGACCTCACTACATCTAAGGATGCTTGCTATAGATGCAGGCGAAACGTCAGGAGAGAATGCCTCTAGAACATGGCCATATAGCCTGAAAAAACCTACAACAACCAGGTTTGTATTTCTGTAGTGATTTGAGTAGTGTTTTCGAACGGAGCCTATTCACTTGCTTTCTTTCCTATCCCATTCCACTTTATCAAGCAGTATTGTCTTAATTTATGAGTTGTGCTGTCTCATAATATGGACAAAGTATAATTGTTGTTGTTTATTTGTTCAGCCGCTTCCAACTCTTGTGACCTCCTGGACCAGCCCACGCCAGAGCTCTCTGCCAGCTGTGGTCACCCTCAGCTCCTTCAAGGTCAAGCCAGTCACTTCAAGGATAACCTCCATCCACCTTGCCCTTGGTCGGCCCCTCTTCCTTTTTCCTTCCATTTTTCTCAGCATCATTGTCTTCTCTAAGCTTTCCTGTCTTCTCATGATGTGGCCAAAGGACTTCATCTTTGCCTCTAGTATTCTTCCTTCCAATGAGCAGTCGGGATTTATTTCCTGAAGTATGGACTGGTTGGATCTCCTTGTGGTCCAAGGCACTCTCAGAATTTTCCTCCAGCACCACAGTTCAAAAGCATCTATCCTCCTTCGCCCAGCCTTCCTTATGGTCCAGCTCCACATCCATAGGTTACACGAAGTATAATAGCCTCAGTCTAATCATTTTGAATTATCGGTAAAGCTGAGAGTTGGTTTGTGTTAGGAACCTTTCATTGATCATTTTGACAGTCCTGGCCATTGATTGATCTCTTTTCTGGCACCACATTTCAAATGAGTTCTCTTCCTACATGGTTTTTTCAAGTATGATAGTATGGGTGACCCAGCAATGATATTCCCCATAGTCACCTACGGATGTGAGAGCTGGACCAAAGGGAAGGCTGAACAAAGGAAGATAGATGTTTTTGAACTGTGGTGTTGGAGGAAAGTTCTGAGAGTGCCTTGGACCGCGAGAAGATCCAACCAGTCCATACTTCAGGAAATAAAGCCCGACTGCTCATTGGAGGGAAGAATAGTAGAGGCAAAGATGAAGTCCTTTGGCTACATCATGAGAAGAAAGGAAAGCTTAGAGAATACAATGATGCTGGGGAAAATGGAAGGGAAAAGGAAGAGGGACCAACCAAGGACAAGATGGATGGATGGGAACCTTGAAATAACTGGACTGACCTTGAAGGAGCTGAGGGTACTGATGACCAACAGGGAGCTCTGTTGTGGGCTGGTCCATGAGGTCACGATGAGTCGGAAATGACTGAATGAATGAACAACAACAAATGGGTGACCCTGACCTTGATATTCAGTCATATATCTTTTCATTTGAGAAACATGTTTAGTTCCTTCATTGCTGCCTTTCCAAATATAGTCCTGACTATAGCTGCTATTTTGATTTATAATGTAGTCAAGTTATAGGAAATACTTGACTATTTTGACATCTTTGTCATCTTCTTTAAAGCAATACAAATTATATGTGGATGTTATGGAACTCCACCATCCTATGCTTTCCTGAAGTCCTTCCTGATGTTTAATCTTCTAATTCCTGGACATTTAAACTGCGGCGACTTCTCTGTCCTTTGGTGAAAGGGCAAACAACTGTGATGTCTCTTTTTTCCTCCTGAAATCCCTTTCAGTATCTGAGAGCCATCAGCTACTTCAGTCCCCTCCACCACTTCAATCTTCTTTTCTCTAGGATAAGCCTAAAACCTTTTCTGAAAGGATTCCTCCTCTTGGCTACATCTTATTTAATGCCCATTCCTTATGAGCTTCCATCCATTGCAGCCATTTGTTAAATAAAAGACTAATTATGCAGCCTCGAGGACTAGAAACTTGCTGTTAATTGGAAAAAAACATAAAAACCCAAATCTTAACATTCCCTAGATTTTGAATCTGGTGCGAAGACCAATTTCTATATTCTTTCCACGTGTTGTTTTTGTTTTGATTCCTTTGTTTATTTGTATCCAGCCTTTCCCTGAGAAGCTGGAGATCAGACACAAATCAAAAATATATACAGGTTTTAATTTGTTACCTAGTGATACAGTTTTCTTATTGTGAATTAGTGATTGAATTAGTGATTGTTGTGACATCTCAAACACTTAGGGTTAAAGTGTTTTGATTTCTGAATGCTTTGGATTTTGGAATACAGAACCAGTATTTGCATATACTTATGTAATGCAGCATCTTGGAGATGAGACTGAAGTCTTAACATGCAATTCATTGATGTTTCCTATACACCTTATACACATAACCTGAAAATAATTTTAAACAATATAATTTAATAACTCTGTACACAAGTTTATTTATTTATTTATTACTAGCCATGCCCTGCTATGCGTTGCTATGGCCCACATGGGGGTTCTGTGTGGGAGGTTTGGCCCAATTCTATCGTTGGTGGGGTTCAGTATGCTCTGTGATTGTAGGTGAACTATAAATCCCAGCAACTACAACTCCCAAATGTCAAGATTCTATTTTCCCCAAACTCCACCAGTGTTCACATTTGGGCATATTGAGTATTCGTGTAGAGTTTGGTCCAGATCCATCATTGTTTGAGTCCACAGTGATCTCTGGATGTAGGTGAACTACAACTCCAAAACCAAAGGTCACTGCCCACCAAACCCTTCCAGTATTTTCTGTTGGTCATGGGAGAACTGTGTGCCAAGTTTGGTTCAATTCCATTGTTGGTGGGGTTCAGAATGCTCTTTGATTGTAGGTGAACTATAAATCCCAGCAACTACAACTCCCAAATGACAAAATCATTTTTTTTTGAGTGAAGGACATACATTGGGTTGTTAGGTGTCTTGTGCCCAAATTTGGTGTCAATTCGTCCAGTGGTTTTTGAGTTCTGTTAATCCCACAAACGAACATTACATTTTTATTTATATAGATTCATTTACCTTAGTTAAATAAATATAAATAAAATATAATGTTCGTTATATCCTGCCTTTTTCTACCCCAAGGAGGACTCAAGGCAGCTTACATATGGCAATGATTTAACGCCTTAAGCACATACAACATTAAGCTTAACATCCACTGAAGTAAAATTAATACACATTAAAAAATTTAAAATTACATTCAATATTAAAATGATGCCATCCAAAAATTGTATTCTGAGGCCATTCCGTAGTGATTGCACATATTCCAATTATATTATATTATATTATTGCACTATTTGTCCGAAGGCCTGGTCCCAGAGCCAGGTTTTTACTCTCCTTTTGAAGGCTAGGAGATCTAATGTTGCTAGGGAAGGAGTTCCACAGCCAAGGGGCCACCACTGAGAATGTCCTGTCTCTCATCCCCGCCAGACACAACTGCGAAGAAGGTGGGACTGAGAGCAGGGCCTCCCCAAATGATCTTAAACTCCAAGACAGTTTATAGGGAGAGATGCGGTCGAATAGGTAAACTGGGCCAGAACTGTTTAAAGTTTGTTTACCATCAGAAGGCAAAGGTGTCTGTTCTGGAACGGCTGTTCCAGGGGCTCCAATTTTGTGTTTTGCACTGTTTGTTCATAGTCCTAAGTTTCAGGGACTTTGCAGATAGGTGGCTTCCTTTGGCTGCATTCATAGGGCAAGCCACCTGTCAATTATAGTTAGGATCCCTGGTCTTGCCCCTCTCTGGGTTTTTTGGAGGGAAGGGGCCATTTTTCAGTTAGTCTCAGCAAAGGAAGTCAATGCAAAGGATGTATACGGACGTCCTCCTGTGCAAAGACTTCATCACTTAAGACTTCCCGGGGGATAACAGTCTTAAGCCTCTAAAGATTCCCAAAGGTTCCGGGGAAACAGCCTTACAGCCCTGAGGAATTCCAGAGGGAATAACAGCTCTAATCATCAAGATCTCCAGCTAAGTGACTACAGGTCTGCTGGTACGTCTGCTCGGTTCTGAGACGCAGTTCATCCGGTAGTGGATTCAAATCAGTCAGGTTTAGGTTCACAGTAGCCTGGGAGGAGTTAGAAAGGGGAATTTTCCTTTGAACAAAGTTATTGAAGATAGTGCCTGTTCCCTGTGGACAAGTTTGAGAGAACTGGTTTCTTTACCAAGCAAACTTTACAATTCCTGTTTGTTCATCAATAAAAGACTGTTATATTTAAGCTCAAGCCTCCTAAAGACTGTTTAATGAGGGAAATTTTTCCTAAAAGCTTCTTTTTGGGGGCCCTGGCTTCCCGCTGGATTTAAGCCACACATCTTCTCTTAAAGGCGCTTCATTTCAGATCCAGCGGCGACAGAACAGTGTCACTCAGATTTAAGAATGATATAAATTATTAGGCAATCACAGAGCTCTTCTGTGTCTTTGGTCATCATTAGCTTTGGAAACCTGGATGGGAATACCTTCAAAAATCTTACCATTCTAGCATAAAAGCCCTCCTACCATCTAGAGAAGTGGTTCTCAACCTTTCTAATGCTGAGACCCCTTAATACAGCTCCTCATGTTGTGGCGACCCCACAACAAAATTATTATAATTGTAATTTTGCTACTGTTATGAATCTCATTTGCAGGAACAAATTTGGCAC